TTGTTGTGGTTAAATTTGATTGATCAATTGCATGTGATTTTTGTGCAACCAAATAATCTAAAATCATGTGATCAACATTTCTATACTATACATGATGTGATCTACACTGTCCATTTTTGGCAAAATCCCTGACTGTATATAGAGAATGTAAAATCATTGTATGTTTTAGAATATAGAAAAAACAAATGTACTGGTGGTAGTAACTTCAGGAACAAAGTACTAGGGGATCTAGCTCATGTGGTGGTATTTTAGATTACTTCTGTATTTCATAGTGCCAGGGTTTAACAAATGTCATGCATCACAATCATGTTACTGATCATGAAATGTGATCAGATGTAAACAGTGGAATTAAATAAATATAGGTTCAAACTTGCAAATTGAACCCATGCTTCGTTTTCTTAAAGAATAACCTGTGCCTAGTAATAGTAACTTAGTATCTTGAGTAGAGAAGGTTGTGAGAAGTTATTATAGTGTAGAGGACAGTGTTTAAGTAAGGAACATAGCTGTGTACAAGCGAGTGCAAGACTAAATGAACCTCTGAGCAGAATTGAGTGTATAACCATATACATTCATTAACCCCACAACATTTATACATACTTTGTCTTTGATATTAGGTTAACTGGGATATGAATAACAACTGTTAGTGAATCGCATTTGTATATCATCAGATAGTAAGGTTTGTGCCAGAATTTTTACAGTAATGATAGAAATAATAACATTATACCAATGCAAACTAAACAACTACATACTGTGGTTATGAGAATTGCAAAAAAGTTCTTTAAAAAAATTTTTACAATAATTTCGATAAAATTAACCCAACCAACCTTAACTCTATTTTATATATCAAGTAAGTTTATACCAAAATTTTTATAGTAACTTGTGAAGGCAATATGTTAATTCCAATACAAGCTAACTTAAACTTTCTATCGTTATCAGTATAACGAATGAGCTCTATATATCAGACTTTTTACAGTAACTTACGATAGAAATTACAAAAAATTTATTCTAAATCGAACAAATTCAACCTTGAATAGCGAATAAGAATTGTACAAATTTTTATAGTGACTCATAATAATATTAATGCAAACTAATTCAACCTTAACCACATATTCGGTCATTAAATAGGAAACGAGTTTTGTAACAGAATTTTTTACAGTAACTCGCAATAGAAATAGCGATGATTTCAATAACGTTATATTGTGGCTATCAGAATAGTGAGTAAATTCTATAACAATTTTTTCTGTACCTTCCGTAACCACATGCTATGTAATTCACGATAAAAATTACAACAATTTCGATACTAACTCACAATTCCGATACAATCTTAACCATGTATAATAGTTACTAGAATAGCAAGTAAGATCTGCAATATTTTTTACAGTAATTTATGATAGAATAATGATAACTCTAATGAACTAATCATTAAAAATACTAAATAAGACAGGTGACACGGGATTGCATCTATCACGCCAGTGTATCTTGCCACCAATTGTATGATTTCTGAATCAATTCTTCAACACATAAATCTAATCAAGATATTTTAGGTAATTGATATGCTCTATTCGGATTTTGAAAGCGTTAACCAAACTTGACATCTTTTATATCTCATTTTCTCATTAACATTGATCAATAGAACAATAAACAATTAAATTGTTTTATTGGTTAGATATACGAGTATGATATTTATTGATTAAATATTTAAGCCAATTATTTTTCATTTGTACAATATATTTAACTCAAAAAACTACATGCATAATCTTTAACTTCTATTAATTGCTGCGATATTACGCTTATATATTAATCATGATTATTGAATCGCTCAATTATAAAAAGGGCGCTGTGGGCGCCAACTCTAACCTTGTACGTACTTAAACTTTATGCATGTGTATGTGATTATATTTCGTTATACAAAATTTAGATTCTTTGTTAAATGAAGTATTTAATAAAAAAAAGGAAAAAAGATCTTATTGATAAATTACCAATCCATCCGGCATGTAGAAATATCTGAAAAGACAGGAAGAGTCTAACTCAACAAAACTAAGAACGATGCAATAAAGAATGGTAAGTGATATTTACTGTACAATACAAATGGGACTTTTGGTACCTGTAATTGATAACAACTGGCTTAAGCGTATTTAAAAAAAAAATGAAAAAAGCCTATTTTATGATCTTTTTTTAGTCATTACATGTAAAATATAACAGGAACGGAGTGATATTAAAAATTTCACATAGTTATGCTGCAAATTATTTGGCGTTCGTACGTGAAATCGTTAACATAGCTGCCACAACGAATTGTCACAGCAGTAGGGGTTGGAACCGGATATCCATTTATCTGTACTGTTGTATCCGTTTATTAAAACCTAAATTCGAATAACTTTTAGTTATTAGTCTGCGGATAGTCGGATAAACGCTACGGATAACCGGATAACCTTACGAATATATGATAGCTCCGATGATATCCTGATAACTGGATAACTTACATTACTGCTATATCCAAACTATCTCTTATAAATTTAATGCTATGAATTTACTTTAGCAACGGATATTGTATGCTAATTGATGACAAGATGACAATCACTGTGTATATACCAAAAATAAAATATATGGGTTTTAGTGTAGTTACGCGTTTTAGAGGATTTGTGATTTGCTTTTACAGATGAGGTACACAGCTAAATGTATATGAAGATACAAATAGTTATAATGGAAGTTTACTATTTATTATATTGAGTATCAACTACATACAGCTTTTAACAGTTCGCATACAAAATATATGACAAGTCTACGTAATAATTGTATACATTATCAGTTATCGTGATCGTTATATTCATTCAAATGGATGAACTCTGAATCAAATGACATAGATAAATTTTTCTCATGTTTGTTATTTTCATACAGTCATATGTACTGTACGTACGTACCATAGTCATCGTTAAGTATTAACACTTTCTAAAAATGAATAAATGAAAATCATTATTCCTACCAAAAAGGATTTTTAAATAATCAGCATAGAGAACATCAAAAAGTTGAACGGAACCATCCCTCTCATATTTCATGTTACGCATTCATGTGATCGTACTGGTACTAACCGATTAATTTGGTCACATAATAATAATAATAATAATAATAATAATAATAATAATAATAATAATAATATTCGTAACCGGTTAGTTGCAACTATAGTTAGCAACTAACCGATTGGTAAAATTTTTATCAACTTGGAACACTACAAACGATATTGCAAGCCTTGTCAGAATTCTTATTCAATAGATACGGACAGGTCTTTCTACAATTGAATTACATTTAAACATAATCATCCAGAAAGGTGGTATGAAATAAACGGTGCTATAAAGGCAAATGTTGAGTGTGTAAGGTCAGTGAATTAAATAAATAATAGCTGCAATGAAATAATATCATAATATTTTTTTATTTACTTAATAAATAAAAACCTAATAAAATAGCGATATAAACAAAGTTTGAAACTCAGTATGCTTTGAAACAGTATTAACGAGTTTTCGAGCACAAACTATCCAATTTAAGCAGAATAACATCCTAACTAGAGATAGTTGTTAGATGAACCTTTTCGCATGATGGCGAAAGACGAAACCTTAAATATAAAATGACAAAACCCTATACTCAAAAAACGAAACCCTAGTGCTCCCGCTAGGAAAAAAAAGTTATTTCATTGAATAAAAATGCATAATTTATCCGGAAAGCAATATTTGAAATTACAAGTTAACCAGCAAAATTATCTAGTCAGTTTTTCTGGGCAACGTTAGGGTTGTTATAGACCTTGTCAAAAAGACATCATCATGGAATAACACAAATAAATTTGTAAGACTACAAAGTGTAGTGTACTAGTATAATACAATATAGAATACTCATTTCAAACGCCTATTATATAATAAAAGTTTTGTAATTTTTATAAATTTCTGTTATTGATGTCTTATTTTTTATTCACTTTAACTTCCATGAATTCAACAACATTTATCTGTGTCTTTGTCTTTTATTAGTTTAGTCACTCTTTGCAATTTTGTCAGTTTCGCCATATTGTCTTAATTGACGAAAGACGAAACTGGGTTTCGCGTTTTGCCTATACACACTAGAGTTGATTATGTTTAAGAGACAATAAAGACATAAACATCATATCAGTCACTAGCGATATAAGTAACCTGTTCTGTCATCATATTAAATTATAATGTATATTAAGGGTGTCTCGTGTATAATTTGGCCATTCTAATAAATAAATATATATATATATCTACTATCTCTTACACAGCATAGCCCTTAGAGGTAAACTAAAATTAGCACCGATAATAAATTAATTTCATACGATTATATACCGTAGTCTTTGATAGATTGAGGTTAACACCAATAATGAATTGGTTTTTACACTATTATATTAGGTACGTATTACAGTACACAAATTGTAGTTGATATTACACAAATCTTTTAAAGTTTTCCTCATATTACACTGCATAATTTTGACATAAATTATGTCACACCCTAACATAAAACCCTAATTTAACTTTAAATGACATGTAGTTTTGATTTATAAAAACCGATTGATTTCATGATACACAACATAAATTTAAACACGAGTGATTTTAGATTATAGTAGTACAGTTTTTTAAACGATTTAACACATATATGAATCTTTTATCATATATTAAATTTGAAAACTAGTAACTGAATACTGGTGAAATATTCATTACACAGAAGTATAATGTGTTAAAATGATATGATAAATTTATTACATGTATGATGATATCAAGAGTATGTCTCCTAAAAGAAACGTTTTGTACATAAAAAACTTTATCTCTCAAAAGTGGATAGACTATTCTTCTGACGTTCCAGCAGAAGGCTTAATAGGCCATACCATAAACAATAATATACCAATTTAATAACAATGTATAAATGTAGTTAAATAATTGATAAAAAATAAAATAATATCAATAAATAAAGAATGAATAAATATAACATTGTTAGAAGTAAAACTATTATTAAGCAAGAGATTTATAAAAAACATCGGAAATCTCTTTCTTTAGTAACCCTCCAGAATAACAATTAGTAACATAGTCACTCCAATTAGAAACATCCTGATTTTTATCTTTAGATCTTGCAATTTTAACCATCTCAGTATGCCATGACCAAGTATTTGAAAATTTCCAACAATACATAATTTCTAAAAGTTCATCCATCTTTTCACGAAATTCGGCATATCCTTTTAGAGGGAATCCCCATTGAATAACACCATATTCGTTCATTAGATTAAAATCTTCTTCACAAGTACACATACTCATATAAAAGTATAAAGCACTGTGAATATAAGCAGCTTTTCCGGAAACAATTTCATATATGATAAGATTTTTTAGAATTTTAAATCGAAAATCGTCAAGAATGAGTGTAGTATAATAATAAGTTTTGTTCAAAGGATCAACGTAACAGATGTAAGCTCCATTAATAACACGTTTCATTGGAATTCTATGACGTACGTATTCCTTAAATCCGAATGGAGTTATAGTTCCTGCTATATGTGCAGCTTTATCAAAAGATTTAAGTTGGCCAGCATTTTGACGGTAAAGGTTCTCAATAAAGGTTGCTTCATGATCATAAGGTTGTATGGTACCACCAGTAATTTGGAATGGTGAAACACTATTAATGGCCCTATAATAAAAAGAATGAAAAGAAAGATTCGTGAGATTTATGACAAATGAAATTCGCCAAATTCGTGACAAGCGAAGCAAAAGAAGATATGATGTCTTACGCCTTTACATCTCCCGTTGGATCAGTATAGCTATTAAAATAAACATTATGTTAGAAAAAAGAAGTTAAATATAATAATAATTTATGGATACATACGGATTAAAGGGCAGTTTCAAAATATTTTGAGCCTTTTCCAAGAAATCGGTAGCAAGGATCTTACATGAGATGGTTGTGAAAGGATTTGAAAGATCTATCAGAGCACTTCTATAATCAGAAACAGCAGCTACGACAGAAGGAAGACGTTCTGTAGGTACAGTTTGGATACATCTACGAAACTGTAAAGAATAAGCTAAAAATCTTGTTACGATTTGAATAACTATTCCTGCAGCATAATCATCTTGTTCATCAGAATCTTTAATGTCATTTAATCTATCAATAAGGTCACTAACATCTTCAACATTTGTAATTGAAGGTAGTAACACTTTCTCTTCTTCCAAGCGTAGCATTTGTTGAGTCTCTTTATTATAAGGTAAGATATTGCCTTTATAAGACATTTCAATGTAATAATGAAGTTTTATGCTTTCGGCAATGCGAACTTCTGGACATTTTGGCTCATCAGCTATTCTAAAAAGAGACGCAAGGCTGCTAGCTAATATGTCAATGTCAGAAAGATATTGTAAATTATTATTTTGAGTTTGAGACATGCTGTTTTGAATGAATTAGTATATTATTGAAATGCGAGAGTAAAGGAGATATTGAATTGATATGGTGAAAGCATAGGTATCAGTCCTATGTGTTTATATATATTTTCCATCGTTGAGACATCTAATAGTAAGTATATACATAAAAGGTAAATAAATTAAATTAGATTTCATGTGGTTACACAATTTGTTTAATACACAAATACAATAAGATCAAATGCTACGAAAATTTATACTTTGTTTCCGAGAAATTATTTAAAATGAATAGAACATTCTTGAATTTGCTATAACATTAGAGATGTTGCACAACAGAATTTCATTAACTTTTATAGTAATTGATGTGACATGCCACTAAATTTTCTTGTGCAGAACGGAACTTGATCTCCGAAGGATAAATAAATTAATTTAATGTTACTTGATTTTCAATGCATGTAAAAGCTAGTTACAGTTATTTATATATATTTAACAAATAATATTGAGAAACTACTACGAACTGGCTAAGAATTTTTATTGTTTACTTCAATAAAGAAAAAATATTTCATTTTCCCTGTTAAACAAATATTTGTATATTAATTGTTACACAAATCATGGTCAAAACTCTAGGAAATTTTCAGAATCGTAAATATGAAGCAGAAACTTATTAATTTAATATGCATTATGAATATTAAAATATATAGTTTTTATTTAATTTCTAATTTTGTATCATAATAAAAAGATTTAGATAGCATATTTTCAAAATTTATCTCCGATATCTTTGTTTTGCAGCACGCATATTTAAAGATAACGCATATAGAAATTGCGCAGTAAATCATTGCGCAGACCGCGGGCCTACACGAGATTTTTCTAGCTTAAAAAATTTAAACATATTCCGATTTACACGAAGATCTCAATGAATAACTAATTTATACCCTGCAATCTTGATATAGTGAACCTACGATAGTTCTCTAATTTTTATTATAAAAATATTAATTATAAATTCGTCTAATTATATAATTTTCAATTAAACTGATTAAGTTGTTTACAAACATTTAAATTTGCAATATAAATATTTTATTTTGAATTAGATGATGATATAGTTGTTAGACGAAACCTCGAGGTTTCGTGCTGACGAAAGTCAAAACATAGTTTTGACTTCGTCAACTAAAATCTCAAATGACAAAATGTCGAAGCTGGCAAAAGGTGTCGGTCGAAACTAGCAAAAGGTGACGAAAGTTAACGAAACTGACGAAACTGCAAAGGGTGACAAAACTAATAAAAGATGAAGAAACAGATAAATGTTGTTGAAACTCATTGAAGATAATGTGAATAAAAAATAAATTACAAAAACAGAAAATTTATAAAAATTTTAGACAAATGTAAGTAAAGGCGCCTTGGCTTTCTACATTTTATGTTCATAAAGGGCAAAATATAAGACATACAATTTATACTTAGATTAATTTTAATAAGAAACTTAATAATCAATTAAGTAAATCAGCTCAAATAAGAAATTAATAATAAACATAGATTGTTTTACATATTTCAGTGTTTCGATTAAAAAATAATTCTTATGTCTGTTGGCTAAATTGACTTGAATAAAAGACAAATTAGCACACACAGGTCAACTTTAAAATTTCAGAGAGATGTGATCAGAATATCGGACGCTTATAAGCCGATAATGACCAAATATTTGGCGCGTATTGCAACCTATCACATAGATATTGCATCTGATGGGCCTATCAGACTTCCGGTACTTATATCTTAAAATATCAGATATTTGGTATTTTGTTGATAGAAGCATCAGTGCATTAATATGCCTATCGGATGCAATATCTATTCGATAGGTAGCAATATGTGCCAAATATCTGGTAGCTATCAGCTTTATAAACGTTTTATATTCCACTAATATCTCACAGAAATCTTGTTGAAATTTTGATGTTCAACCTATGACAGATAATAAATTAATAAGAGGTGCATACATTGGTTTCAGATCTTTGATTATTGTTGTACTTGCCAGTTAAATAAGAAACTTAATAAAAAGAGATCCATATTATTTCACCGACAATTATTTATCCACAAGTTCATTTTATTGAAAGTCTATTTCATTAACAAGTTTAACTCTAATCTGAACATAATGATAATGACCAAAGTTATTTGTCTGTGAAATGAATGAGCGTTGGTGAAATAGACTGTCGGTAAAATAAATTTGTCAGTGAATAATTGTTGGTGAAATATGGTGTCTATGAAGTGGTTGTGAATAAAAAGTAAAGTTAATAAGAATCATGAATTATAGTATGTTATTGATTATCAATTTTCTAAAGTGGCGTAATATAAAAATTTACAGGATTTATTTTTATTAATAGCTTAGCTTTGCCGAATAGTGCTCGTACCCTAAGGTATTGTAACCGGTTAACTGTTAGGTTATTATTATCCGGATTAGGATAACCGGACTATAAAATTGACTACAGGTTACACAATTAGGATATCCGGTTAATTTAAGAGATAACCTAAGGGTAATATAAGGTAAAGTATAGTCACAATAATATGTTTTTATAAATAATCGGTCTATATACTATGTATATTGCATATATGTTGCACGGGTATAAATAAGGAGATATTATAGAAATGTAATAAATTTTTTATATGGATTATGATTAAATAAAAAATATCAGTCAAAATATATTATAAAGTAGTAATGTGTTTTTAGTAAAGGTAGATATAGCATTTTTATTTCATCCTATAATTGATTGGCCAATAATCTACGTAGATAAGCTAATCACATGATATACGGATATAACCTAGGGTGTAACCGTTATCCTTTTACTTCAATAGGATATAAAACCGGTTATTGGATTTTATTAAAGGGTATACCCTTTCGGATAAAGAGTTATCCGGGTACGACCACTATTGCCGAAAACATAGAGTTTCATTTTCACTTTTTTTTTTTTCTTTATTGGGAGCACTATGGTTCCGTTATTTTAAGTTTGGGGTTTCGAGTTTCGTCATAAGGATCTGATTTTTTTTTTTTATACTTATTTAGTGTCTTTCTCAACATCTATTAATTTTCGATTTCCTTTCCTCACGGTGGCTTGTGAGGAATCCTTGTTAGAGAGGTTTTTGGCTTTCGTCAGAAGAATTCGAGGTTTCGACATTTCGAGCTTAGGTTTCGACTTTCGTCATCAAGCAAAAAAGGTTTCGTCTAACAAATATAAATGATGATAAATTTTTTGAAATTGTTACAAGCACTTTATATAGTAGAAAATTTGGTACAATTTATTAAAATTAGTTTATATAATAGAATTATTTAGGAGTCACGACTAAGGCATTAAGCGCTTATTATATTAGCTCCTGAATCTAGATGATCCGAGCAGATTAATCTACGCCTCGACTCAAGGTTTTACTATCAATGTGTGTAACACGTGATTAAAACTCTAGAAGGTTTTACTATAAATATGTGTGTAGCGCATGATAGAAGCTCGAGAAGGTTTTACTATTAGTATGTGTAGCATATGATTGAAACTTGAGCCACACTCCGGGTTTTAGCATGGCAGCATCTATACAGAATAGAGTATTACAAAATTTTTGCCATAAAAACAATTAGTAATTGAGTTTAAATGTAACTGACCTCTTGTATAATATTTAATTTGTGTTTACAGCCTATCTAATAGAGGCTTTTTTCTGTCTGTCAAATTGATAAAACCTATGAGTAGATTTTCCTTTGTGTTTCTCATCAAGTGCCACATTTAAGAAAAGGCCGTGAGAAATCGAATATGCACCGATCGTACTGCAATCACTGGTCTATGCTTCTGAACTCAAAGATTTTAGTATAAACTCAAATTGCAAGTATTTACTACATAAAAACTTACGTGTTATTAGATTTTTTTAATGAGGTTGGTATTATTTGAAAAGACAGAATTTTCATTGTTGATTTCGAGAGGGCGAGCACGATACAATAAGTTAGCACTGCTGGTTAATTTGTAAGTATTCAATACTCGTATCTATAATGGAAAACTTATATTCAAACAAAACTACATTATATGCTTCACAAATGAGGAAACTTATGACGAATGATAAATCTATAATGAATGATTAAGACATACAGTAAGACTAATGTCTTTTGAAAACAAATTTAGTTCATGTGAAGTAATTTTTTTATTTGCATTATCCTATCCATCCATTTTCTAATTTTTTTTATCTTTTTTTTTTTTAGATACACTTATCCGACATTGCTTAGTGAAGGCTAAGTCTGATAATAGAAACTAAAATTACCAGATTCAGATTTCATGTAAGACTAAAACTACCTATCGAAAGTATATAATATGATCGGTGTAACCCTTTTTACATTTCCGATACGTCAAAAAGGTTTAAGGTAAATATGGGTATTTTGATGAAGTCAACAGCTTTTATTAATAAAAGTTTCTGAATACCTTTATATCCTTAACTTTTCTATTTGATTTAATGCAGTTCTAATCTTTCTTTACATCTATATACAGGTATAAAAAATCAGTACTTTATTTAAACTATGTGATGTTACTTAGAAGACTACACTTCTTTATTTTATGAGGGTAAAATGACATTTTTTACAAGGCAATCATCAAAATACTAGGTTAAGTTAGCTGGTTCTACCGCAAAATCCGAAAACCAATTTCCCAAAAGAACATAATATCGACTAAAATGGCCAACATTATAATTAATGCCGGCTAACTTTGTCGGTATTAGGTCTTTTCGGGACTTTGTGGTAAAACCAGTTGGCTATATTGATTAGTAGGAGTTATAGTAAAATTATCAGTCGGGCACTTTTTACTTAATAAACGACTATGATTTCATTAGTAAAATTTTTAGTGATTTTGGGCAAAATTGATAAATTCCGGCTCATCCGACCAGGAATTTTGGATTGCCCTTTATGATTTTGAAATGACGAACGTATGTACTGAGATTTTTTATAACAGATACTTTACATTTTGAGTATATAAGAAACTCGCATCCGATAGATTCTGAAATCATTGTTACACGAATTATTTATATAG